AACCAGTGCGAAACCGAAATTTTTGTCAGTGCGGACCTCAACCTGAGGTAGGTTTTAAAAACAAACGATCAAACTGACGTTTGTCAGAAAACAAGCAGACCAAATCTTGATACCCGATCCAGGTTGGAACTGAATAATAAACAAATTCGCTATTAGTGTTCGTGCAAGCGACATTTACCGCCTTTAGCCTAAGTAATGAAATAGTTTATTCTTTTACCAATAGATGTCACCGTTCGTTTGTATACGTAATTGTAAATTGGTTTGATCGTAATGTTATGCATAAAAAATAAATTAAATGTATCAACTGCCTCCGCCATGGAAGGACGTCTCAAATCATCATCACATTTCAATTATAAAATCACAACGTACAAATCGGGTCCTATCCTATCATGGAGCACCTAGATTATTTAAAATGAAATGTAATTTAATTTAAATTTGGAACACAAAAGAACTAAAAAACATTTGAACTCCCGTTGCACGAATCACCAGGACGGGGTTCATTTTCATTTTAATTACTCGGACTTGATCAATTCTAACTAATTTTTTCAATTAATTTTGTATCTGATTCAGGGATTCATCACCACTGAGAAGAGCTGTTTAATTTGTTGTAGCTTTAGGTAGTAGTAACAGTTATGTCAGCATCCGCACGGCCAGAGCGCACGATGCGTTCTGTTCCCAGGCCCTTATTATTCTACACTGTACTACATATAGCTTAGCTAATGCCTTGTTCAGACTGGAGAGTTATAACATGTTATAACGGTTGTCAAATAATTGCAACACGGAGACCACCATCAAGATAGCGCTATAACATGTTATAACTCTGTAGTCTGAACGTACTATAAGACTGACTGCACATATTAATGGTGGCTAGTCCATAATTGATCAGAATCAGTGAAATTGCACAATGAATTAAACGAATGGGGCTGGGAGTGACCGTCCATTCTCAATGTACATGTTTCAGTGATTCCATATTTTGAAGATCAATAACAGCACCGCAATGAGCTGGATTACCGAGGTGAAACAATCGGTTATGTTGTGTGAGTAATACCCCTGTACGATACAAGCAATTAGTGACGTCACTACTTGCGTTTACGTTAATTTTTTGGTTTACTAATACAACAATATTTCGCGATCTGCTTCACCTCTCTCTGTATCTCATTGGGTGTAGGGAAGGAATATTAGAGTGACATTTAATTTTATATTCTTTGAAAATTTAATATTAGAGTACACATAATTTGTACAAACCATAAAAAACAATACACTGGAGTCGCTTTTTACGCGGGGATACGTGCCGCGTAAAAAAAACTTCCGAGATTTTGATTTTTCACATGCTTAAACATTTTTTATAAATCGGATTTTGATGCCATTCGTTATTAAAGCATGCTATGGTCCATATAGACATATTTTAAAAATTTCTGTATTTATACCAAAAATTGTGATTTTTTTAAAAGTATGCCATTCGATTACTTATAGTTTGAAACAGATAATGTGATTGGAATCAACTCGATAGGTCGTATCGTTGTCGAGAAATCGTTAAAAACGTACCGCGTAAATTGCGACTCAGCGGCACTAACCGCGTAAAAAAAACCGCGTAAAAAGCGACTCCAGTGTATTAAATATTCGAAACAACTTTGCTTGTTTGTAAGAAATATCATTTTCTTCTAGTTTCTTAAGATATTTGTGTGTATTATTATATTGTTTTTCCTCTTTGTGCCATTCGCCCTTTTGTCCCTCTTTGGACCATTAGACCTTTGGTCACCATTAGACGTTTAGTATATTCGACCTTTTGTCCCTCTTCTCATCATTCGACCTTTTGTACCTTCGATCTTTTGTCATTCTACGTTTTGTCTTTCGACCATTTCAGGCATAACATTTGATAACGACACAAAAGCATTTGTAAACAAACTTTCTAAGGCCCTTCACACGCGAACCAAAGTACGCCCATGCAAACCAACAACACCATCGGATAGGGGCAACTATCACCTTTCCGAAAGTGGTATTGGTTTGCGTGGGCATACTTTGGTTCGCGTGTAGAAGGCCTTAGAAAGTTTGTTTACAAATGCTTTTGTGCCGTTATCAAATGTTATGCCTGATTTGTCCAGCAGCCACTGCCAGCATGACGCCACCTTCTTATAGGCAGACAGTTAACCAGAAAAATAATATAGGGGATGAGGGCAAGAAGACCATACGGGCCGAGATGATTGTTAAATTCAAATGGATATACTTTTGACTCAAGGCCTAATATGTTTTTGGTCTTGATTCAAATTCAACGAAAAATATTTTTAAATCAACAAACCGGTTGTAGAGTCGATGATCTGTTTGTTGATTCTAAAAACCATTTTGTTGATTCAAAAACATGTTTTGTTGGAATGGTGATACAATATTTTTGAATCAATTACAACATACATTAGGCCCTGAAGCAAAAATCCATTTTTCTGTGTGTAGGACATATTACCTATTAACTTAATCTATTTTTTTCAAACTAGATGAAAATGCTTCTAATATGCTTCTTTATTTCAGATCAATACTAATGGTTGTTAGCTATTGAAAACCTGGCAAAACTTTAACTTTTGCTGCTCTGCTTTTTTGGTGCTCATATTTCCCCGTATGGAGCGAAAACTGAAATTTTTCAAGCATATTAATTTAATTATTCCTATATTTAGGAATGTTTTTCTTATTTTATGATGTGTTTTTCTTAGAGTAACCATATTGTCCCCCATCTATCCTATGGAGATTTGTATGTTTAAAAAGACAATTGACACTGTCTTCAACCAGAGGTTACACAGACTGAACACGAAAAGTTCCACAGGAGCAGGAATCGAACCCTCACTTCGTGGTACTCACAATACGCTTGAAACGGGGGGACGAAACTTTATTCTATTTATTTATAGTCTGGCGGGTAGAATTTCGATCTATCAAAAAGCGGAACCAATTCAATATATTGTAGATCAACAATTTAAAAGGTACTATCAACTTTTATAATCAAAACGTTGATTTTTCTTTCTTCGCCAATCGAACGCAAATTACGAGCATCATCGGATAGGGGAAACTTGTCCCAACCCAAAGATGGTGTTAGTTTGCGTAGGCGAGCCTTAAGTCACGAGAAAAGGGTTTCTGAGGTTTTGTTCGTAATAGCTGATGTGCTCTTTTCTGTTGTTGGTCGTGATTTGCTCGATTGGTTCCGCTATTTGACAGCTCAATTGGTTCCCGAGATTCAATCCGTCAGACTATGAATATAACGACTATAGACGAAACACCTAAATCTGAATCCTGATATGGTCGAAAAGCTCATGAAATCGAATTTATCTACAAAAACTTTTTTTTCCTTAATTTTACGCATCTAAATCTATCAATTCGCATCGCCCTCTATCTTTTTGCAGGAAAGCCCCAAAATCTTCATCCATCTTCATCGCACGCGCATCTCAGGACAGCAAAACCAAAATCTTCCCTGTATTTTAGATAGTCGCCTCCCGTGAGTAAAATACTAAAGTGAGTAACCCCCCTTTTTGCAATTCTGAGTCGGATTCGACTCAATTTTTGAGTTACTTTCATCGGCCGTGTTAGCATCGGGGGTAATTTTTCCATACATTGTTTGGGCTTAAAACATATTTTTTTGGGCATGATAATCTAAAATCGCTCTACCACCCCCGATAGATCATTCTATACTAACCTCATATGAAAGGGGCGAGCATAAGCTTTTGTTTGCTGGGTTTCAGCGATACTGATTGTTTTAAGTTTTTTTTCAGAGACACCGTGATTTTTCCATCTGAAATTTATAGCGTTACGTGAAGATTCCTGGCCCACCGGAGTGATGTACCGAAAATGTAGCACATTTGGAAACCTACAAAACCTAAGAAACAACTACATACTTGAAGCCTGGTGTTTGCTATCAAAATGAAGCATTTTTTGTAATGCTATTTGTTATTCTCTTGTGAACTTATTTTCTTGTACTGTTTGATTCGATTATTGTATACCAAACTGTTATTGGTTAAGAACTGAACTGCCGTTTTACGCATAATTGTCCCATGTTCTGTGCAATCCTTTTGCACCGTGGGACTCTTATTGTAGAATGATAATGAATGAACGTCATTATTGAATGGCCCTTCATCAATGTTCAATCAGTTTAGTTGCTGGTTTAGGTTGTAATTCTGTCACTGAAAATTCAGTTCTATTGATGAAGCCACAAGTTACATTGCATTGGCAATTGCATATTTTAAATGCATAAGATATTTTTGTTTAATGGTTTGATAGCGTTGACGTAGGATTTTATTATACGTCACTTATAACGATAAAGCAAGTAGAGTAAGTTGTTTTTCTTGTTTTTTGTTGTTTATAACAGATATAAACCATATAAAGGTTAATCAACTTTATTAATACGCTAGCATTTGTGTTTATACTTATCTGATAAAATGTTTGATCGTTGTGCGAGTATGTAGCCCTGGCCTGCAGTCATTTTGAGGTTATAGAATGCAATTGTGCTCACGATTGGCTTGATAACTTACCAGCCAGATAAAACGGCTTTGCCTGATGAGTGTGGAATTTGCAACTTTGAAATACTTCAATGTAATATACCTTTTACCCAGAAGTAGTAAAATCGAATTTGTTTACTGAACTGAACGATTTTATTTCCAACAAGAAAACAAAACAAATGATAGCGTTTGCAGTTACTGGCGTAGGCAAAGAAAATGATACGAATAAACGAAAAGAACGACCTGCGAGAGAGAGCAGAGGCAACGTGACAGTCACAACTCGCACTAGATAAGCCGCTGCTGGTTCGTTGTGCAGTGTACGGTACACGGTGTATAAAAATAAAAGCACCGATGAACGAATGAACGAACGGCCTTTATGCCAATGAAAGGCAACATATCTAGAGGAGTTGTCTGTTGATGTAGGTATATTTACCTACGCTTCGTACGTATGAATACAAAAATGGCAGCAGCAATAATTTCCGATTCATTTTAGATATGATAACACAGAAAACAAAGAATGAAAAGACTTACCTTCTGTTGGAGCGTTTTCATAGTACCAGCGGGAACAAACTGAACCCCACCATGGCTGGATGGTCCACCGGTTCCGGGATTCGAAGCGACCACCACTTTCTGCATATTGGCGTTATGAATATACTGCTGTTGGGGATCGGCCGTCAAAACGTTGATGGGAAATGCCCCGGGTGGTAGCGGAGTGTCCTTGTTGAGCACAATTACCGAGGTAGAATCAATTCCTGAGCCTACCGCAAGTCCTCCATCTATCGATGGTGCAGCAAATGACAGTTGCTGAGGGGTCACCGATAGTGGCACAGAATTCGGTACCAACAGCGAGCTCGTAGCATTGATTGTCAACGGTGTGCCACCAGGAAACAGTATTGGTGAGTTCCGTTGAACTATTACTTTCTGCTGTCCACCGGTTCCGAATGTTCCCGTTGGGGATATAAGCTTGTCGATCAGATCACTTTCGTCGGGGTCCATCATGGGGTCTCGGTGAAAAACTGGTTTCTTGCTCCTGCTCAAGGACACCACTAGAGAATCACTCTCTCACACTGCAAGAACTGTCAAAATTACGTTCCTCTGCACACGGATTTCACTTCTACTTCTATCGAGTGCTTCCACTTTCTGGGACTAGGTGTCACGCTGCAGATCACGAAGGAATGACACCAACTTATGTTTCGGGCGTCTTTCTGTTGAGATAGAAAGTAAAACTGTTGTTTATGTTATATAAAGCAATAAGCTCGTTGCGTTTCAGCAGCACACTGCACTTTACCCTTCTGCTCACTCACATCATTCAGCACTTTCAAAGGACACTAGAGCACGTCTGGCTTTCAGCAAAATGCTCTAACCAACAATCTAACACGAAATTATTTTTTTTTATGTTGATGCGTTCGCGAGAGCCGCAGTTTTAGTAGTCTTATAAGCTGGTTGCTATCGATGTAATATAATGAATGTGTGTACACTTCTGTGGGTACCTATCTATCTCGTGTAGTGGGTTGGTGGTCGTCAGTGTGCAGTTAGTCAGTAAGTAATGTTGTGAGTGAGAAATTTGTGAGAAAGTCATGCTCAGTGTGAGTGAGTGAGGGAGCAGAGTGCCGCTTTGAAATAATGAACACCGAATGCAGTTCAGTGAGGACCGTTATTGGGGGCGAAATCATATTGCGGTGGTGCATTTTCGATGCATATCGTGATAATGGAACAACCTGCATGAACAAAATACACTCCCCTCATCAACATAGCTTTATTCTATTTTTTTTTGTATTCTGACAGTCGACTGCGTCGCCCATAGTGAAATAGTTTTTGCACGGTCGTTTCCGCGAGAGAAGAACACCCCGTAAAAAAATACAATGAATTTCATTGTCATTGTAACCAAGATATTTACTGTCAAAACATTGAACATTTTTGTTGATTACCATAAAATCACAACGGAATTCGTGGTTCACAACAATGAAAATCATGGTATTTCCGGAGAACTTTGAGATTAGGGCGTAATTGCTTTTGTAAACAAACACGTCAATCGCCAATTTCTCGCAAATTAAAGCTCAATCTAAAAAATTAACGGCACAAACAGGTAGATAAATTATTCCTTTATCATTTAGTATGGTTTGTTCGCGATAATAAGTTTCAATTTACGATTAATCGGCGATAGACGTGTTTGTTTACAAAAGCAATTACGTCCAAATCTCAAAGTTCTCCGGATTTGAGATATTTACAGTAAAAAATAGAGCATCTTAACATATTTTCTCGAACAAATTTAATCTCATCACATTAATTTTTATTGTTTGAGCATTGTATCTTTAAAAATACAAAATTTATTTTTCTCCGTACAATAATTAAACAATAAATTTTAATGTACTCAAAATTCAACATTGTTTTATTATAATTTTTTTTCGGGACGTCACAGACAAAAACAAGCCAGTTGTCTCCTCTTCCTCTTATGGTGGTAAGCTCCAACCGGTATTATCCTCGGATTAAATCCCGATCAAGAATGTCCGGCTGCTTTGATGTCGACATCAGATTTAATCAACACGACTCTAAGCAAATATTATGCAGATCATCCAAACAGGGACGGAATTAAAAAGTAATCCGAGTTGGAGCTTACCAACTACACTGAAAAATATCCATTGGAAAAAAATACTATATTGCTAGTTTAAATTAAATACTTTCGCCAATAGATTTTTGCAGAAAACAATTTCATTTACTTGTACTATTATTTTTATCATAATTACTATGCATTTTGAGCAAGCATAGTAGTTTTGCCAGAATTATAATAAATTTGTTAACATTCATAGTCAACTATACTGAATTCATGGTAGATTTAACGGTAATAAGCGTGGTTATATTGAAAATAAGTGTTTTCTGCAAAATAGTATTCCTAACTATGGTCCTTGTTACAGTGTAGCCAATGTGAACGTTGGCTACACTGAAACAAAGATAATAGTTAGGAATACTATTTTGCAGAAAACACTTATTTTCAGTATAACTACGTTTAAAACCGTTAAATCTACCATGATTTCAGTATAGTTGACTATAAATATAATCAAATTTACTACCATTCTGTCAAAACTACTATGCTTACTCAAACGGCATAGTAGTTTTGATAGAAAAAATAGTAAAATTAAATGAATTTCGTTTCTGCAAAAATCTATCGGTGGGAGTATTTAATTTAAACCATCAATATAGTATTTTTGCCAATGGATTTTGTTTCTGTGTAGGTTGGTAATGTAAACACACTTGCACACTCAGAAATTATTACTGACCTCGGTAATTTTTTTTCTGCAAACTTTCAACAACTGCACTGAAACTAATCGACATGTACCGTTTATTGGATCCATCTTATAACATACCAATGTCAGCAGATTTATTCATTCTATGTGATGATTGATAGACTCCATTGGATTATCACTTAAAAACTATGACTGCGATATGGAATAATTTCTATCGTAATTTCACATACTTAGTACTTGATAATACTTTGCTTCGAACGTGGTTAGCGATAGGTAAGATGTATATGAATATTGTCTGATATATTTCATGGTGACAAACTGTTGATATGTCATGGGTGCGAACAGACATATAGAAACTAATGGAAAATCATATAAGTTTGCACTATGAGAAAATTCAGTAATATATACCTGTTTTCTTGATGAATATTGCTCACTAAAAGATATATCTTATAAGATATTAATGTTAATTTTATTGGAGTTGCTTTTAACGATTTTTGACGTTTGTTGATATGTTGCGTGTAAACAGACATGTAGCAACTATTGGACAGTCATTTAACTTTGCAGGATAGGAAAACATGTATATCTCATTGTAATAGCTTCCTTTGATGTTTGACGTTTAAAGATTGTAAACAGATCTATACCAATTATTATATAGTCATATAGATTTGCCTTTTAAGAAATCCAACAACAAACATTTGTTTTAGCATGTTTTTCTGGGATGAATATCGCTTCCAATAAAATACATCTTACATGATTGTTCTTCATATATTCTTGAAACAATTTTCAACGATGTTATCGTACACTCATTAAAATGATTAGTCGAACTAAATATAGCTAACAACAATGATACTGTATTGAATAATCCTTCTTTGTTATTGTTCCATAAGATAAGGTGTTCCGAAAAAGAATGTATTGAGATTGAAAAAAAAATATTCTACTGCAATATTTACTTTGCTAAGATTCTAATTGTAAGCCTTCTACGGCTAATTCAGATTCCAGCACTAGCACTTGAACTTCATGAACCAGTTCCATGAAATCATATAATGTAGTCGTTGTTTTATTGCACACAGGAGCATTAAGAAAGATTTGAACAAACGACACCACCGAAACGGAACATAAATTTGCCAGTGCTATTTTTCTTCACTCTAGCAAAACGAGCATAACGTTGCACTACATTCCATGTCGAGAGAGCTGTTCTTACTTCATGCTAATTGAACGAGCTCAATCTTGAAGTCAGCCGTGGCCCAGTGGAATCGAGCGCAGACACCGAAAGCATCACACCTCAACAGTTCTTGATCGAATCCCAAATCAGCTACAATAAAAAAGACACAACTGTGAAAGCTCCCACTGCCTGATGTTTATTTTTCGATTTATTTTTAGAAATCGATTAAATATATGTGTCAAAAGAAGAAGTAAATTTCATGTGATTTTCACATAAACTTTACTTCGATTGATTTATGACACATATATTATATTATGGTGAAAAGTAAAGCTTATGCTTATGGGTTTCAAATCCATTTCAGTTAATTATTGTAATTTGACCAATTTTCATTTATCATATGACGCTCATATAAATGTTACCAAATTATCTGCATTGTAAATGTATCAGATATTCATATAGAATTTACCTGACACATTTTCAATCATATCATTTTCATTGGATTATCTTATAGCGCAAATTTATTAGACTTTCACATAACAGGAATATGTCATATTGGTTCAGTGTGGTAAAACCTCGGGTAAAATGGTAAAACTATGACCCTCATTTCAGAAAACAGTTTCACTAAATTTTAGTTTCAAAATACTGTCAGCCTTGTTTAAATACTTGAGTCTTGCCATTGTGGTAAAGTTTTCATTGTTTTGAAGCCTAAACATTAATTAATGAAAATGCATGATTTTTACCTAACAGTGAAAATTCGGTAAAAATTACCGAAGTCATTAATCATTTCTAAGTGTGTAGATATAAAATACCAAATAAGGTTGGTAATACCCCGTACAGACTATGGCTTATATCATGTAATATAGGCTGTCTTGCAATGAGCACTCATACATCTACTTTTCACTGGAAATCCTATGTATGAGTGCTAATTGCAAGACTATCTATATTACATGATATAAGCCATAGTCTGTCCGGGGTATAAGTTACTATACTGCCACTATTCGCATAACAGTCTCATTTTCATTTTGCAGCGTAAAGTGCGGCAGTATACTTATAAGTCGATTTAAAGCCGATCAAAAAAGGAGGGATAATGGCTGCCTAGTAGGGAGGCCCAAAATAACACACTTTGTGTTTACACTTATGGTAGTTAACTATACTGTACCAAAGCATGTTCGAATGAAACCTTAGACCATTCAAATCGAAACATCGAAATCGTTTTTTCAAATGATAGCTGCAACCGGATGACGCTTGTTTTGTAATAAGATGATGCTCTTCTCGTCTACAGGATGAACATTGATACGAGAAGTGAACGGACCTCAGTTGAAATACGTAATGCTCTCTGTAGAATGATTGTCATCCCAAATTGAAAAATACAGTCATACCTCGATATAAAGCAACCTCGATATAACGTAACTCGATATAACGTAACTCAGCTTATAGATACCTATAGATAGCCTATAGATACTATAGATTCCATAACCGAAACTAGTTTTCATGTATCTTCCATTGGAAACGCACATGATTTTAATCCATAATCGAAATTAATGGAATTCATCTGAATTTCACACAACATTTATGCGATTACGTTAATTTTATATGATTTTACATATGAATTTCATCGGCCTTATAATATTCATGTGATTTTGTGGTGGGATTTGCAGCTATGTGATCACAGGAAAGTTATGTGAAATTCACATGGATCACATCCATTAGATATGTGATAATTTTTTTGAGTGATAGATAAGCGGAGACAAAGTATAACGTAGCCAAACGAACTCTCAGTTAGTGTAGCCAAACGAGCATGACGTCATCATGGTGTTTTTTAGGAAGAAATATTGTAATATTATGAGCATAAAATGCTTTCCACACTCCACATTCCGATTTATTTCGCGGACAACGGAAGAACGAAAGATAAAGTAATCCTCGGTTCATTGTTGCAAAGATTTGCTTTGCACTTCATTTTGAACTTTTGCGCACGAAACAAAACAAAACTGCA